GAATATTTTTAAAGCAAAAATGTATTTTAAACTCCTTACGCCAAACCAGATTTTGCAGCTTGGTAACTAACGGGTGATATCATCAGCTGTTCAATCTGTTAGTTTATTTATTGACTAAAAGAGGCCGGCTCTGTGTGGGTGCATTTTCACTGACAGTTACTGCTGTAAACCGAGAGCTTTTATCAGCAAACTCTGATCTCCCGGCAGTGCAGTTCTAGTTGCGCAAACACAAGAGAAGATGAGTCTTGTTTGGATCCCTGAGGTCTGTCTAACATCTGCTACTTGGTTGGCTTTGGTGCTGCGACTTGCCTGTGGTAAGAGTTATTCAGAGACGATAGAGCAAAGGCACACACAAGGTGTTCAACATGTGTACAGAACTGTAATCTTTTTGTGTGGAATAAAATTCATTTGAACAATCCACAAACATGTCAGAGTTTTTTTTTTCATTAAAGCAGTTCATGCCATTCACAATTCCAAAGAACAAAGTGTTCTGATGCATAGGTAAGTCAGATTATTACAGTATGTACTGTTCCCGGTTAGGGCTGCCATAGGACAGCTTGTTTTGTGGGGTTTTCAGGATAGCATTTTGATCTTACTTTAAACCACAGCAACACATTTATTTTACAGCTCCAGCATGACAAAGAGACCTTGTCACAAAGGTCCACATGACAGCATCACAGACTGCCAGATCACTTACAAAAACGGGACGGATTTTACTGCATGTACAGTAATCGTTCCTAGTATATACTGTACGTACAGTATATACTGTACTGACTATTTCAGTTGCTGTTATTGCTCCTGACCTTCCACTGAGTCTGGGTGAGACTCGTGCTGCGGACAGGAGCGACAACCGGTAGATAGGAGGGCTGGGTTGCTCGTGGAATGAGTCTGCTCCCAGCGCTGCAAATTCTTCAACGAGAAAGACTTCGAGACGCCCTGTCAAAACCTCGTTCGGAGCTCTTCTAATGTGAGACCGGCAGCTTTCCTTTCCGAATACTGTACGCGCTCTCTCGCCACAGGGTGAGGTCCGGCTGTTAAAAGCAGGTCCGGGAGTTGGGAAGGAGAAACCTCCGCCGAGCCGAGCCGAGCCGGGCCGGGCCAAGAAGAGACATCGGGTGTCAAAGCCCGCGGAAGCCCCGGGAAACACTACCGGGCTGTTGTCAAGACGAGGAGAGCTGAATAGGATACTTTTAAGATTTGCATCAGAAACAGTTTAACCTTGTGCCCCAGAGGAGAGAGCACATTCTGTGCAGCGGCTGGGTCCTGTAAGGCGTCTCTATTAAAAACGATCCATTTGCTGTTGCTACAGAGACCAGCGGTTCAGTCCGTCATACAGCATACCCAATTAAAGCACAGCAGATCTGCGATTGTCGGAGTTTAAAATAAAACGATACAGTTTGTATCGGTTTTTAATAGTAGCTTGTTTTGCTTATTCTTTTATAACATTAGGGAGTTGCGTACAGTATATGGTCATTGATCGTTTTTGAATGTGTTTTCTGCATACAGTGTGATAAATCAAGCAGCAGAGTACATAAAACACAAACTGACTACCCACACGTTGTAAACACAGTATTGCAGAAACCGTGCTGTATACCACACCGTATTTCGGCTTAATGCAAAGTAAAACACATATAGCACAAAGCCTGTTTAATGAGAATAAAATATTGTTTGTAAATATTGTATGATGAATTTTAAAGCCGAGTGTACTGTATAAGTCTGGAAATAAAGAAAATAAAAATCATTTAACGTGCGGGGTAAAGCTCGATTTATTTAGCATGTTGCTAAACGTCCTCCAGACAGGTGGAAACGTGTAATGTCACGGTCCAGGCTGTTACGTGGTGTCTATACGTTGCTCGCTAGGGCGTCAAAGACAGAGTGCGCGTGACTAAAGGCAAGCACAGCTGTGACAGATGTGCGGAAGCGGGCATGTCGCTGGCCGAGTAATCGCTGGTCCACAGCTGTATGCCATCTTGGCCAGCGCAGGCCGCATTCGTTACCTCAAAACTGAAACATATTAACTTATAAACTAAAGCAGAGGGACACCATGAGCTTAATTTTCTAATTGGCAGCAGAAGATTCCACTAATCAGATGGTCGGAACAGCTGATCCTAACTACCAGCTTGTTGCAAAGAGTCCAGGCAAATTCGGAAGACGTATTAATTTTCAGAGGGCAGCCAGCAGATTTTCCACATGGGTAGCTGCAAGATGAGGCCGACCAAGTTAAGAAATCCTGTATATAAAACAGTCAAGACAATGTATTTATTTTAATAGCACTCATTGATAATCAAGCGACACCTTCCATGTGCAAAGAATGATTGGTCAACCAGCGTGTTTCCGTTTAGAGGCCAGGTGACGAACCTGCCCCATCTGAAGATGTCCTGTCAGTGTAGGGCCAGCTGGCACCACTACGTGTTAAATGGGTCCCAACCCATTTCCTCCACAAGCAGAAGGTCAGTGTGTCCAGGATGCTGTACTGATCTCTGCATTTCACTCCAGGCTGCCCGTTTAGGATACAGAGAGACTACAGGGACTTTGAACAGACTACGAAGTGGAGAACATCTCCAGGAAATTCTGCAGTGCTTCAGTTCTGAGGAATGAATAGGATGCTTTGAGAAAATGTGAAACTGTAGAGTACAAGGCTCTTCTGCTGAATCTCACAAATCCTTTCACATTTCTCCTAAACTGTATCCCTCAGTACACAGCCACAGCTGATCGCAACTGAGATCTTATCTGCTGTGAATCGCACGGAAAACTCTGATTCTGTACTGCATGGCACAGACAGGCCATTTTTAAAAGGAAGGGCTCAGGCATCTCATTCACAACCTAGTTAAACTCCAGCTGTCTACAGGGACACCATTTATTAAAAGTGTGCAGTGATACTCCCTTTGCGCCTGCAAAGATAAGCCTTCTTCATGGTGAAACAGGGCAACAGACAAGAAAATATGATTTCGGTTCAGCACAAGGCAACATTATTCAGCCTTTACAGACACTAAAACAAACTACAAGGGATGTTTTTCCATATACTTCTTTCTCGGATATAAAGTGTTGAATGTTTTTTTTTTTAACAAACCTCTGCTGCAATCTAGCATGAGAGCCAAATTACCTCTATTTTGTAACCCCTCTATCTATGCAGGGTTGCCTCTCCCAGCAAGCCATGGGTGCAAGGCAGGGTACACCCTGGATGGGACGCCAGTCCGTCACAGGACACACACAGACACACACACACTCAAACCAGGGCCAGTTTTCCTAGAAGACCATTAACCCACCAGCGTTCTTATGAGGAGGAAGTAGGAGCACCTGCTGCAAGCCCACGCAAACGTGGGAGACCATGCAAACTCCACACAGACAGTACCCATAGGTCCGGAATTGAACCCAGGGCCCTCGCACTACAAGGGAATGTAACGCTAACCACTGTGCCACCGTTCTGCCCACCGAATTGCATAAGGAAGGAAAATCGTTAAGCAGAAGGCAGCTCACACTCTTGTTTGCAGTATTTCCACTCACTCAGTAGAGTGACATACTGTATCCAAAAAACACAGGCGAAAATCGCTTCAGCCCAGTGGGACAGAACTGGGAAAGTCCTGCACACCTCTGGCTGCCTGTCCGTCTGCAGAGGAGCAGTGACACAGCTGACCTGAGGCGATCGAGCACTCAGCCCAGGCCAGCCCAGCCCAGCAGCCGCCCTCCTGCTCCTTAATCAACCGGAAAACAGGTTGAAGACACAGCGAGGATGAAATCTTAGCCATTCGCGCATAACCCTGTCACATCCTGTACACAGCCTGTGAGCGCCTAGTGTGCTTTAGTGAGTCCAGATCTGGGGTCCCCTCATGGGCCCCAGGGCAGCTGAATCCCATCTTCCCTGTCGATCTAAATAAACTCAAATCACAGCAAATCATGTTGCCAAACAAGAGCCTAAGATCCCAGTGTGGTGTTCAATCCTGATCTGATGCTCGGGAACAGATGGAGCATCTGCTTGGTGGCACGCCTTGTGTCCAGGCAGCCCCGGCTGTCCTGTCCTGCACAGAATACAGAAGGTGAGTGCTTGGTGAAGTGCCACTCGTCCCTCTGCGTGGGACAGCGTGTTAGAGCACCGTCCCTCCAGGGGTAGCCTGAGAGCTTCTGCACCTCCTGCAGGTGAAACCACAGGGCCCATTGCAGCCGGCAGCTCCTGGCAGCCCGTGTGCCCTGTGATCCCACCGACCTGTCACAGAGCACCGGGCCAGAACAGTTCCAGAGGGGCGGGAAGTCTTCTCCCACAGCGACAATGGGAGGAAAGAATAGTTCCGGCACCATGTCTGAGTGAACCGCCTAGCAGTAAGTCCAGGGGTCTCTGGAGTCCTACAAGCTATAGGCCAGACAAAAGGAATAGTGCAGAATTGCCAGTTTACAAAAAGTGCTCTTGTGCAAGATAAACAAGTGCAAAAGAAAAGCACAAACACTATGCAGAAATAATAATCAGCAGTTGTCCCGAGGAACTTAGGACAGTATTCACCGAAGCTGGGTGTCAGCCCACCGACAGAGACACCCCCCAAAGACTAAGACAGGATTAACTCGCAAAAGCAGAAGTGCCAGGTTAAAGCACCCCAAGCCCTGCCCCTGCTCCGCTCCCCAGCACCTCCTGACGGACAGGTGAGCTTCTGTTTAAACCACAGCCGAGTTGGGCTCTGCAACCCGACACACAGACAGAGACCGACAGCAGTGTGGATCCACAACCAGCCAGACAACAATACAAACAACCAATACACAGACCGCCGCTGTCCAATAGAAACACAATACAAAATGCAGACATTGACGTGCTTGGGTCTTTCTTCTGGAATGTATCTGAAGGTGTATGAGGCACCTCATCACACCTCATCACCCTCCATGCCCACCGTGAGCATGTCAATAATTTAGTCTCCTATGACCGAGCTGGACTGTAAGCAGTAATGTCTACAAGACACAGCACCAGCCCTGAGCCTCACTGCACAGGGAGACAGGGCTGTGCTGTGGATCGACCTTACCTCCAGACCTCCATGCTCCTTGTACTGCAGGAAGGCATTGGTGGTCCCTGTCTTGGCCAAGCGGATCCTTGCGAGTCTCACTTTCTGAAAGATCAAACAGACTGGCATGAGTGCGCGTCTCCTGGGGGGATCTTGTCTCCTGGGGGATCTCATCTCAGCGCACAGCACCTGCCTCAGAGCAAAGAAGAACCAGGACAGGACCGTGGGATCATTCAGAGGCTCCTGCAGGGCTCTTCTGCAAGATCTGTTCAGCTTTGCAATGCTGTGGTAAATAGACTGCCATACTGCAGATATAGTGCTGCACGGCACACATTATTCCAGCTCGTTGAATGCAAAATACAGTACATTACATGTAGTACAGTACCTGCTTAATGAGGAATAAGATATCATTTGTAAATGCTGTCTGATGGACTGTGATTCCAGGCAATTGCACTGTATACATCTGGAAACATATTTCAACAAAAATGAAATCACTAACATTTGGCTGAAAATGTGATTCATTAAAGTACTGTAAGAATTCCTTCACAGACTGAGTCAGCAGAAAGCATTTATTTTCACCGCTCAGGTTGTTACGCGTGTCTACACGGTACACTGCGTGTCCAACCCAGTGTGCATGTGTGCGACAAACGCCGGATTTCACACAACTGTCACCGGATCGGCCAGGGCTGCTGCAAGATTTTGGAAGAGATTGTTGATTGCCGAATTATCAGTGGTTATTGTCCATACGCATTAATCAATAGACTTTACGTGCATATTCTTGGGGGCTTCAGATGTGTCTAATAAGATAGATTGCAACTGATATCACAGCATAATCAATATAAAAAGTCTGTGAAAACAGTGTAATCAAGTCAAGCTTAAGGAAACCAGATACCACTGCAACATAAAAAAGCTTGAATTATAAAGGGAGAGGAATTTGGGTATTTGTGTGCATATTGATCCAGGAATCAAGCTGTTTACTAAGGGATTCCTGCTAACTGGAATCCACCATACAGTTTCTCAGTTTCATAATCTAGCATTGCTTCAAGTACAGTACATTCTAAAGACTATATTTCTGCTCAATATGTGTGCAGAGCAACACTGGTCTAAACCCAGTTCAAGGTGTTCAGGCCCGTGTACTGATCCCAGTCTTCTGGGACTCACCCCAGCCTGGCAGAGAGGCTGCAGAGACTTTGAACAGACTCACTTTGAGCTGAGGGGTCAAGACCTGACTATGAAGTGGAGAATATTTCCAGGAAATTCTGCAGTGCTTCAGGTCTGAGGAATGAACGGGATAAGAAAATGTAGATGTGTACAAGTCTGTTCTATTGGATCTCACAAATCCTTTCACATACAATCTCTTCAACTGTATCCCTCAGTATACAGCTACAATTGATCACAACTGAGATCTTATCTGCTGTGAATTGCACAAAGCCTCTGATTCTGTACTGCATGGCACAGACAGGTCATTTTTAAAAGGAAGGGCTCAGGCATCTCATTTATTCACAAACTAGAAAACCAGAAAAACTAGACAGAGCAAATTAGAAAAGCTCCAAACCTTCTGATGATTTAAGAGGTCTGTGCAGTTCTTGTTCTGCTGGTGTTTTTGCAGTATTTTTAGAAACCATACTGACTAGTTCTCACCTGCTACACAACTGCTAAACTGGCAGGCTGATGTGTGAGTGTGGGTAGTGAACAGTTGGAAAAGACAGACAGAGCCTGCAGGCTGTGCCTCAGAGACACTGGAGTAGCTGGGTTCTCCTGGCTCCTTCTGCCTTTCAGCAGGTGTAATCAACACTCATTAAGACATTGTCACCTTATGTCAATATAAATGGCTCTGTTAAGACTGAAATGAGGAAGTGCTACATTAGACCCAAGTACACATTAGCTATATTCCTGTTCTTTACGTACAGGACTGACTGCTACAGCATCACAATTCTTTGATGAAATGTTTTTGTTTAAAAGATTTTCAACAACAGCTTTGGCTCAGGCTTTGACATCTCCTTTAACCTTTAACTGGGACGATTCCTGTTTTGTTGTGTAACATTCATTTCACACGCTGAGGCCAAAGCAGTGCAACAGATAAGTCCAGATAACAGCCTCCTCTCAGGTCTAATTAAGAAACCCCATCTGTTCCTACAGCGCTTAAAGGCAGGTAGATCGTCTGATCCCTACAGGTACAATCTGTCAATGTGATAAAAAACACTCCCTGGGACTTGATCTGGACTCTCCAAGCTGCACTGCAGGGTCAGGGCTGAGTGTGTGATCTGGACTCTCCAAGCTGCAGGGTCAGGGCTGAGTGTGTGATCTGG